ACCTAAGCGATTAGAACGCTCCCGCTTCTCATACTGAACCCTTTGAACATCAGTGCTCGTAGCAGTAAAAGAGGAGCAGGTTCGTCCATCCTGAATGCAAGATCCAAATCCATACAGCCCAGAAAGATCATAATGTCTGATTTCCAAGACTCAAAATTTGATCCCTTAAGTTTAGGGACACAATCAGGATTAAATGACATGTTAGCTGACATCAGAGAAAATAAACAAATAGATAAGTATAAGCTCACAATTCACAAATGAAACAATTCACATAAGTAGAGATAAAAATGGAAATAAGATACAGACTCAACATTAATATTCTCATCTTTGGATGTAAAATATTCACTTGTAATTAGTATCTCAACGCAGCAATCAAATATTGATAACATAGTCCTGACAAATAATAAATCTTCCTTTGGACCGATATATCATTGTCATGGAAAATAATCAAACAATTATCACATACTTATTGAATTATCGACATACTTTTGCCCAACCATGTATTCAAACTCAGCCAGATAGCGAACCTTGACCTTTGGGCCGATTTAGACTATCCGCAACGAAATTGCTAATACAGGCCTGTCTTAATTATTCTACAAAATATAAATCATTCAAGCAATAGAGGTCACTACTTGGTGACTTTATGATCAGGTGACTTATTGATCAAATCAATTTATTTTAACAAATATTAAACACAATAGGGACTTAATCACTCCAAAATTTAATCTCAAGTCGACAAATTAATTCATTTAATTGTAATTAAAGCAAAACAATTGCAATTAAAGGAATTGATTGTCTAAATATTTAATAATCTAAAATTATTTAGCCCTAAAAAATAAAAAAAAATTATAATCTAGTCTTTAAGTCACTAAATTAGAGACTAAGTTATAAAATTGGACTAAATAAATTTGAATAAATAAAGTTCGGGGTTCTAATATAATTAAATATATGTCCACGGGTCTAGACGAAAAAAAAATAAAGTTCGGGGTCTAATTTAATTAAATATATGTCCATAGGTCTAGACGAAAGAAAACAGGAAATTAGGGGCCTAATCTAAAGTTACAGAAAATTAGGGGCCTAATTTGAAATTACAGAAACTTAGGGGCCTAATCTGAAGTTACAAAAAATTAGGGCCTAATACGAAATTTTCTAGGGACCTAACCGTAATTTTCCATCCCTAACCTTAAAACCAAAACGATCAGAGACAAGCTCTCCTTTCCGCAAAACAAAAAACAAATTAAAACAGGGTCCGCCGCACAACCAAAAATGCTCGGCAGATCCTGGCGAGAGGTTGTGTTTGTGTTTATAGCTATATGGTATTGTGAATCACTCAAAATATCATTCCTTAGGCCAGAAGAGAAAGAAAAAAAGAGAGATATGATAATAGTAATACAACTCTCAGTAAATAAGTGAAGTATGTATAATATAATAATAAAAAAGTATTTAAGCTCTCCACCAAGGAAGCAATCGCTAGAATTCGCGATACCTGATTTTTCTGGGAGTTTGTTTGAGAGATAAAGTGTGCGATTTTTCGGACGGGTGATCTGGTTTGCAGCAAAAACTCCTCTCTTCATTACCTTGTATAGCTTTTGGGACATTCTCTTTGGTGGAATAGTTACCATCATTCCGGAGAGCTTCTGAGGTGTATGATGATAAAATGAGACAACGTCGGAAAAAGTTAAGAGAATGTGTTTTTAGGGTGAGTGCTCCTAATACACGTTTAAAAACCGCATTCCATACCCTCAGTTTGCTACCCCAACAGCTTATTGTGTATGTAATAAATACCAAAAGTACTAGCTCAAAAATTTATACGGAAATAAATAGGTGCATACACTTATAAAACTACATTTTCTCAGATGGTGGCAACACCTATATAACTCCTAATGCTATTTCAGAGGAGGATCATATTTAATACAACTCTCATATAATAAAAATACAACAGAAATACATCCATGACAAAGGCTCAATGTTCTCATTCCTGTACAATATATTTATTATGGTTGCGCGTCAGATAGACTATAAAAATATCCAAAACCAATAAACTCTAAAAATTCTGTTAAGGTAAATATCATAACAATAAGATTGGATTCTAAAATACACAAAAATTAGAGGATTCTCTCGAATTAGTGAAAGTTATCTCCAAGTTTTGTTCTGTAATTATTTAGAAACACCTGATGACTATTTCTGTATTTCGCTGGTATGCTGAGCTCAATCTTGCTAATGTAGTATGAAACTATAATCTCGAAGTTCTTGCTAGCATCTTCACATGGCGACTGTATATTGAAAGTTGTAACGTCGACCCCTTCCCTAAGCGGCAACCCAGCCCAACATCTATCCGGAACAGGGAAACGTTTAGAAACTTCGGACATCGTATCCCTCAACTCCCTCCTGGCGGGCACCCCACGACCCCCTTACCTCTATTACCTGCCTGCCCTCAGGCGTTGTCACCCATGGGTTGCCGAGGCGAATTCCCTATTTCGGTCCTTTTAAACGTGAGAATGAGGAATGTAGTAGTAAATGGTCTCTACACTGTGACATAGTCTGAAACATCAACTCTAGCCCTCCTGCCTTACACCCTCCAATAGCTCCAATTACTTCACCACACTCCTACACGACCCCACACTTCCCTCTTAACACCTCTCGACCTTCTACAATTCGAGGCGCATTGCCATCTCGCTTTCTAGATTCACCTTTTAAGATTATTGAGTGCTATTATAATAAGTTACAAGCACCTTCAACCATAAGTAAGGAAGAGGAAATTAGATTAGAAAATATGCACAATATGACAAGTGGAATACATTTATAGTTAAAGACACTTACCCAAGAAAGACATGTGTAGCCATATAGCAGATCGAAGAGTAATTTATCTTTATATTTCATTTTTCATTTTTTTATTTATTAACAAAATCAGACACTATAAGCGAGAGAGATGAATATTCTCTTCGGCATAACTAGAAACAGTGCTAGGAATAACAGAAGAAGAAAGAAGAATGTACAGACATTTCACCTTAATGAAATATAGAAACACTTGAATCAAATGACCCCTATAATCTTATCACATCACTCACATTCCATCCAAATATTTTCTTAAATAATGCCACTAGTGTAATTTTATGGACCTTACCACCAACTCATAAACTAACTTATACAACTAAATTCCTAAAAACATCCATTACTTTTTTTAACCATTATTGCTCTCGATCTTAATGATATGACCCTGATCCTAACTTATAATCTACTCTTCTCCTTTAATTCTTTGTTGAGACACCAACCAGAGAGGAGAGCGTGGGACGCCACAACACTGTAATGAAAAACATAAATATAACTCTAATATACTTATATATAAACAACAGTAAGAGTGTATGAACCTTACCTGGTAAATTTTATATTCTTCACAAGTACTTTTTTGTATACCTTTTTGTGTTATTTTTTCTAATTTGTGTATACTCTCATATAGCAAAGTCTCTCCTTACCTTTATTGCACCCATTTTTATAAGACACGATTCCATAAAAAGAATAAAAACTGACATAAGAGGCTTGTGCGTTAGATTTGAGGGAAAATGGCCCCATTTCACTTAATCCTACATTATTAAATTCTTTCCACCGCTCTGCTTTTGCTCCCTCTGATACTTCATATCTTGCATGTTAGTATGCAAAACAGCTGGGAAGGTTTGGCACAGGGGAACCACAATGCCTCCTTTGATGGTATAGAATAATATTGAGATGCAGAACCTTGAACCTATTTCAAGAAATTGTCCCTTTCAATCGGAAGCATTATATATGACGACATAGAGTGTTTATGGCGTATTTTAGAGAGTGCGATTAAATTATCACTCTCGAAGGCCTTCATATGGTCTTCTATGGTACCATTGAAAAATTGATTGCGAATTTATATGTCTAGAATTCTCTATCTTGATTCATGTGTATCTTTTTGTATTTATTCCATTATACCTAACAGCTAGCAATTAGCATGGATACCCCAGTTTTTTTGGTTGAAGTTTGGTTTTCTATTGTTTTTATATTAACTGTCAAATCTGAGCTCTTGAATTCCCTCCCTTTTCATAATTATTCCTGCTATTTCTACGTTTGTATCCTACACATTTTCACATGGAATAATGCATTATCTGATATGATTTTTTATTATAATTCATACAGGAAATTCATATTCTATATATTCATTTGTCTCCTAGACTTCATTATACTTTTAAATATAAATCTCCACTTTCCCGCGCCCCCGATCAGGGACAGAGGCCTTACTATATTCAGAAACTCCATATATTCTCTCATTTAGCTCTTAGAGTATTAACTCTAATTATATTAATTCAATTGATTTCTAATATTAATTATTAATTTTTCTCATTTTTTAAATACTATTAGTATAAGAGTTGAAATAAAAAGATACTCACTAACAACAAAATATTAATTTTTTCATACTTTAGTGTAGTCTCTCTCTAGGTCAGGAAAACACACAGAAATAATACTTGAAAACTGTGTGACATTCTCTTCTCTCACATTACCCCCCACACAAAGATCGTCCCTTTCCACCGGTGCCTCGGTGCATCCGGAGCGCCGCGTATCATTTCACTACCATCTGCTACTACCCTGAGGCATGGTCTGCGCTATCCTCCCGACGCCATTTGTCGACTCTCTGAGCGTCTGCTCCCCATTCAATTGATACTAAAACGAACTATGTGTGGTCTTACGCTTCTAACATATATTATAACAATAAAGAAGATAGAAAGCGAGTAATATTCTAGAAGATAGTTCTTATTATCGCCAAGATCCTTTCTCGGAATTGCTTGGTATGCTAATCATATACAAATTTATATAAGAAAAGAAGATAAAAAAAAAAGACAGAGAAGTAACAAATGATGCTTTCTCTCACTACAGGAATTTCCGGCAATCAAGACCACATTTAAAATTGACTTTACAATTGGACTGCTGTACATATTTAATTTTACATATTAAGCCCACAATAGAAAATTAAATCCAACAGGATCTGCCATAGACATGCCTATCAAGTATATATTACATTTCAGAGTAACAAGATCACATAAACAAAGAAAATCCTGAACATTAAATAACAGAAAAGAAAAAGAATTTACAAATATTAATAATAAAACCAACAAATCCCAACTACATAATCACACTCATATATAAAATACAGTTAAACCCACAACACTAATACAAACCAAAACCATAATGTTACATTAAAGTCCTACTATTTAATTCCTTCCATCAAATTATGAACACACAAGAACTACCCAACAGAAATTTATTATTCTTTTACCATATTTTGCTCCTGAAAAACCAGAACAGAACAGTCTAATTGTTTGCAAGTCCTAATGCCCCATTAAGCACGTCAAGTAACTGCTGGTGTGCCGTTAGATGAGGGAAATGGCCATCACTATCTATAATCTCCACCGTTGATTTTGTCTTGATCTTCTCTTGCATGTAGTATGCAACTGAGTTTGGCACAACAATGTCGTTTGATGGTTGAATTATGGTGCAAGGAACCTGAACCTTTTCAAGAATGTCCCTTTCATCGGAGTAAAACACAGTTTTGGCTATTGAGAGGGCAATTTCAGGCCTCATGTTAGACAAGCAATTTATAAACTTCTCTACTGATTCAGGATCTTTTGAATCCATAACAACAGCAGCAAAGCATGGAACCCAGTTTTGGAAGTTGGTTTCTATGTTTTTAATTAAACTGTCAATATCTGAGCTCTTGAACCCTCCTTCATAATTATCTGCATTTATGTACCTACACATCACATGGAAATGCATTATCAAGAATTTTATATATACATACAGAAATCATAATCTAAATTCATTGCTCCTAGACTCAATACTTAAATATAACTCATTCGCGATCAGGACAGAGCTAGGACAATTATTTTGCAGGATCTAATTAAATGAAATTTTTTTTTAAACATTTAGAGGGCCAAATATGATTTTTCTATATTTTTTAGGAACAAAATATAATTTTTTATAAATTAAAAAATTCTTTAGGTGGTCCGGCCCGCTTCAGCCCGCAAGAGCTCTGCCCTTGTTAGGGCCCCAAACAAATTTGATCCCTTCAAATCATAGAGCGTAAAGGTTTTTATGCATTTCCAAGGATCAAATGCATTTTTAGAAATCGAACTCGTGCTCTCACTCGCAGGCAATTACCATTTCAATCTCCAATGAACACATTGTTGGTATCAAATAAATCTTTAAAAATTTGTGGTATCTTGAAAAAAGAAAAAGAAAAAAAGATTTTATACACTAGGCCGGCAACAAAAATTTAAATCATAAAAGGTATAATTAATTAACAAAAATATATTTATTTGTTTGTTTAGGGTTTTGATTTACATAGAGAATGGACTTTGGTTTATACATATTTAAATTATTTTCCAAATTATAAAAATACGATGTTAAACCTAAATAAGAGCCTAATGGTAATACTTAAAAAGAAAATTCATGGACTACATAAACGGAGCACAAAGACAAGAAGACAAAGAAGATGGCAGCATCATAACTAATCTTGTTCGTTTCCACAAGTTTGGTTGTCGTTTTGTGGTAGTAGATGGTACATCAATTTAATCATCACAGTTATATTTCAATTGCTCAAACGACAGGATCGCGTATATATATAGGTTTCTTAGTATATTTTTATTATGTTGTGCCTTTTATCTTCTAGTATAATTATCCCAACCACCCATCTAATAGTGGGGTTGCAATTTCAATACCCCACAAAATAAACCCTCCCTATGCTTTTAAATTGTCCCTATAATCATAGCCTTCATCTTTTCCCCTTAAAAGAATTTTTATTGTCCTGTACTTCAACACTAATAAATAATTTATTTTAAAATAAAGTTTACATATATTAACTATTTAGAACTGCTCAACAACGATTAAACTCTTTTTTCTGAACAAAATGCAAAAATCATGATCTAAAGAAAAACTGTTTCAACTATAAATATTAAATACTCTTAGTATTCTTCAATCATATTGACAACAAAGAGTAATTACTAGAAAAAAGATAAGAAGTAATAAGGGTTAGTAAAACTATAAACACATTAAAAAAAAAAAAAGAGATTTACGAAATAAAGCTAGCAAGAAACTAAAGAAATTATTCACTGTCAAAGAGAAAACAAGTTATTACCATAACCAATAGCTGGTAACGCTTATTTGAGTTTAACCTATGATTTTTTTTGTAAAATTAAGGATTCAATTTATGGAGAGACAATCGTGAACTCTAAAATAAGATTAATCTTGTATAAAAAAGGATACGAGAATATATTTAAAAGAAAAAAAAACAAAACAAGCTATATCTTGTATTGGTTTTTCTATATATATATTTATATAGAAAATATATAATATAAAATTGGAATTATTTTCTCAGGACTAGTATCATCTGAGTTTGAACCTTCATATTTCATATATAGTCTAATAAAATATGGGGAAAAATAAAAAGAGATCAACAAAGTTCGATAAGATGGATTGTATTTGAGGGCGGAATTTATTTGCAAAGTTAAGATTCGAGATCTGAAATTATCACTCTTAAAAAAGAATTTTAGTTGAATATTATTTTAACCAAACCATGAAAACATATCGGCAAACCAAAAAGAAAAAAAGAAAAAATTGGGTTTTGAATCAAGAAGAGTAACAGTAGTGACGTTTTTACCTGGGAGAAGCTGCAATAAGTATCAATCTCTGAAAAAGGTCAGGCCTCTTAATGGAAGCAATGCAACCAATCATACCAGACATGGAATGACCAACAAAAACTAGTGGTGATTTAAGGTTCATCTCTTCTATAAGAGAAATTAAGTCGTCAGCAAAAGCATCAAAAGAAGAGTACTTTTCAGGGTCAAAAAGCCCTTCTCCTTCTTGATTTTCTGTAACAGCACTAGAAAATATCCAGTCAAAAACCAGAATCCTGAAATGCATAGACAAGTTTGGAACTATTTTATCCCAAGCACTCTGATCTCCTCCATACCCATGTGCAAGAACCAGGACTTCGCTACCGGAGCCGATGATTCTTGCGTTCATGGCTTTTGATAGACCTATTTCAAGAGCCACCATGCTTGTCTGACGAAGAAAAACAAGAAAACAATGGGTTATAAGGGAAAAAGAGAGAGAAAATGGGTCTGGTAGTTGTTCCTGTGTATCGTATTCTGTTATATAGGAAGAGAGAGACGTTTAACACTAAATAATTAAGCATAATACCAAAAAGAATAATAATATTAAGCAAAGAGTGATAGATGCAAGGGAAGGGTCACACTTCATGCCGAAACATAAAATACAGTAGTAATTTCTGACCTTTAGATTATCATTAAATCAATCCTAGCCATTAAATGTTGAATTGGTTACCTGCTGAGCAGGTTCAAGGGGTAGCTTTTTGTTTTGATTTTCTCAATCCATTATTTTATTTCAAAAGCTGCAAATAACTCCTTGAGCCATCAATTTTCATGTTAATCATTCTCATACTTTCTCATGATGCTCTCGTGTGAATCGGTCATTTAGCTCCAACATTTTACAAAACAAATTTTACTACGTATTCACTTAATAATATCCAAAAAAATTCATTAATTTAACTTTTTTTTTTTATTCTTTTGAAACTAATGTTAATAAATTCGCATTAATTTTATAAATGAAATATTAATGTTTTAAATCCTCATTTTTATTTTTTTGTCATTATTTTATTTAAAAATATAAGAACCAAAAAGGTTTATAGTGAAAAGCGAATAAAATATTTATTATTTTATTTTATTTTATTTAACAAAATAGTGAATAAAATGTTTCGTAAGACGGTTTTATTATTGAACCTCCTCCTCCTAATTTCTATTTCTAATGAACCGGAATATGTTTTATGAATTTGCAATGTAATTTGTCGCGGTGGCTCAGAGAAATATTATACATAAAAAAAAAAAAAAAAAACCCGCAATCTCTCTTTCTATGCATTTGCTTACTTTCGTGATATACAGGTATAATGGTCGGTCATTTTAGTTATTTCTTAATTACTTATACAAAATAAGCAGCAATACGAGTTTATTTGATACATAACCGAACCTCATTCCACTTTCATATAATTATATTCCAAAATCTCATTCTCATTATTAATTTACCCACTTTTTTTCTTTTCTTTATTCTCTTTCCGAAACCTAATTGTTAGAATAATTTCGATTAAATTTTTTCACTTAAATGACAACAACTACTCTAATTTGTTTTAAATCCTCATTTTTATTTTTCTTTCGTTCATCTATTTTATTTACAAAATATAAAGAACCAAACAAAGGTTTATACGTCGACAAAGCGAATCAAAAACTAATATTTTTATTTCATTTTATTTTTATTTCTATCTTAAACCAAAAAAATAGTTGGAACTACACAATCTGTTTCGTTAAGACCAGGTTTTTATTACTTGATATACCCATTCCCTCCTTCTTCTCCTAGTAATTTCTATAATCTTTATCTTATCAAGTGACTCACGATCTCTTCGTAGCTTCAAATATTCATCTGTATTTAATGTGTATATTATTGTCCCCTCTCAAAGTATTCGGTTATTCTTAGAGTTTTTTATAGTTCTCAGGTTTCTTGAGAAGATGATGAGTTCTCATGTAAGAATAAGAGAGATAACCAAGATAATTGTGGTGAAAAACCATAAGAGGAAAAAGTAATAAAAATAAAAGTTTTATTTATGTCAAGAACGTGCGGCCTGCACAGCTTACCGAGAAGGGCCCTTTTCTGTGCGCGGTATTTGCATAAAAATGGACATCATTAGAACGCAAGCCATACGTGGCTCTGTGTTGTTATTACGTGGCAATTCTTATGCCAAGCGTCGGTTATGCTCATAAGATAATCATTGTATATCTAAGTGCCACTCTAGTTCTCTCTAAGGCGAGTCAAGCGAGCGGTTAGGCTAATTCAATTCATACACTCCTTGGCAGGGATCATAAATAAAACTTCCAATCACAGTATTCCGTTATTGGCTGTCCTCTTTAGAACGTAACCAAGCACTGAGGAATTCTACTATTATTTTCCATTAGGATGGTGGGGTGTGCTTCGTAGATACCGAGAAATCGCGACAAATTGGCGTTAAAGTGGCCAGCGTTCTTTCGTTCGGGACTTTATTAGGACCCTATATTAGGTGCTTTCGTATTCCAATCTCTAGAGCGTCCACATTCTGGACCCTGGCGCCTTCCATCCAGGTCGATCTATAGTTGCGCGTCTCAATATAACATTGAAATAAGCCCGACAAATATGTCTCTCGAAATATAAGGGGACTATGATACAAGAGAGTGTTTGCTCTCTCAGTGTAGAGATATCTTCCTCAATTCTCTACTTCGACAAGATTATAGCATTGACAATGAACAGTGGTTGTATGGTTTGGTTAGATAACTCATCATCACTTTATATATCTCATGTATCACTAATTTGAGGTCATGCCAAACCTTATTTAGGGATCCATTACTTTCAATTTGTCAAAGTGAATCAATACAAATTATTTCTCTTCGGCAGCGCCGCGTTCTGCTCCCGATAATTAAGTTAATTCATAGACACCTATTTTGTAAGTTAAAATGGCACGTAATATAAATTATCGGAGATATTACCAAAGAGTTTTAAGTTCTCCGTCTCTGGCTCAACTTTATATCCACACGCGCGAAACAGAAATTTTTTGAACGGGTTTTAATTTTTTGCTTCTCCCGAAAGAGATATTTTGATTTGTTCAAAAAAACACAAATTTCTTTTCCGTCAAAAATTATTAAGTTTAGAAAATATAAATGAATTCCTTAAATTATATTAAAAATTAATATTTAAATCCACTGTATGATTTCAAAACAATATTCCACTATATCGATTTTCATTTGTCATTTTAGCTCTCAAGTCAGTGGAGGTTGCGTACATTATGTGAGAAACACTAAGTTTAAGTATCTCTTACGGAATGAAGTTACTGTGGTAATGATTAACTTTTTTAAGAATTTTTCTTATTATTGCCGATTTATCATCCTCTCCCAAGAGGAAATTTGCCAAAACACATTTTAGACTTTCTTTCAAACAAAAAAAAAAAAAAAAAAAAAAAAACAAAAGGAAAACCTGAACTTTTGATATTTTTTTTTTTTTTTACAAATTATCCATACTTACTTTTATTTAATTACTTACCTCAAGTTTTTTTTTTTTTTTTTTATCAATTACGAGCTCTCCAATTCCAAATTCTTATTAGTTTAGTTACTTATTCAGGCCATTAGTTGGGCCCCACAATGCGCTAATTCAACATCTACATTGCTGTTTTGACCCCGCGCAGAATTCCCATATATTTGAGCGTATTTTTAGAGTACTCTCCATCTTCTAAAATAATAGTGATTAAGATAAATAGGAGTTGTGGTGGCTTAAAAATATATGTTGAGACAAATGTGCACCTTCTGCCTTCTTTACGTATGTGTGAAACTTAAATAAGAATATAATTGCAGTTATTTCTCGATACGAGTAGTACTTATTAATTAACCACAAATAACTTAACATCTTTGAATATAAAACAACCCTCGGAGCAGAGCGCGAGAGTGTTCGCGCGAAAATAAGAGTTTTGACCCAAATCACCGCTTGGTGCTTCTGTATTCCTCCCAAGTAAGTAAAGAAACAAAAAAATAAGGGTTTGATCGGGGGGATTTTTTCCATTCTATATTTATCATAGGGAGCTGATAGGCGGGGTAGCATTTATTCGATATTCACACTTCAATTCAAGTAACTTCTCTTTCATTCCTTATCCCACACGCTAGGTTTGGTGCCGGGAAAAAAAAAAAAAAAAAAAACAAAAGGAAACCTGAACTTTGATATTTTTTTTTTTTACAAATTTATCCAATACTTTTACTTTTATTAATTACTACCTCAAGTTTTTTTTTTTTTTTATCAATTACGGCGTCCATCCAAATTCTATTAGTTTGTTACTTATTCGGCCATTAGTTGGCCCACAATGCGCTAATTCACATCTACATTGCTAGTTTTGGGCAGTTCACCATTGCTTTTAAAATTTCTAAATTGAAAAATTGTATTGTTGAGACAATCACCTTCTCATCTCTATGTAAACTTAAAAGAATTTGGTACAGTTATTATAATTAACAAACTCTTGATAAACCCTCGAGCAACAATCCCAAAGTCCACCAAATAAGTTTCTTTATCTCCGAAGCTGCATTATTCGATCACACTCAATCAGACTCTATGCCAGAGGCCAGAATCGATAATAAAAAACAAGTATATTGTATTCATAGACAAAATTAAAAATATTGATCAAATTTGAAAAAAAAAACAAATTTCAAGCTTTTTTAGTGATTAAACTTTCTTTTATAACTATTTAAGTGTTATCATTTTTAGCTTTAGATTCTTGAAGATTTTAAGGATTTATTTTATTCACTATCAAGATAGTGGGATGTGATAGTCATTTTTTGAAGTACCAGACTCATGTGTTAATTTTGATATAATTTTGAGAGCTATTTATATTTTTTCTATGGCAATTAAGGGAAAAAAAGTTTACTTTAAAAGTATTTAGGCCTATATATTCATTTCAATATCATTTAGAGATCTCAAACGATAATATTCACTGAATTTGTGATAATTTTTATGGTGAAAAGGTTTGGAATTCGAAACTTCTTGATCCCTACATCATCTACAAAAGATAAGAAAACCAATCGGATCACACCTAATTGACTTCTTTTAATTTGTTTAAAATTATAAACTTGAAATAAATTATTAAATTTAGCATTTAATAATTAACATGTAACAAGGATACACTCTGACATCGAATACGTGCATTTTAAAAATTAAATTCAATTAAAAAAAGTTTTTTTTCGCTGACAAAGATATTTTGATTAATAAAATAGGGATTAAGAAGCAAATCTATTTGGCAAATTGAATTAACTTTTAAAAATTTCACTGTACTTTCACCGGGAAAGGAAAACAAGAAAAAAAAAAAAAAAGAATAGGTCCATGTTTAACGGTCAATACATGTGTCTTATGTGAAAAGAAAAATAAAAAACAGTTAATTGTCTTATTTCAAAAGAAAAATAAAAAAACAGTTAATACATGTGTCTTGGCCTGATACAGGACAAGCTCACGGTTAAGAAATACGGGATGGCATGGCAGATGAGGGGTTAATTTCACTTGAAGAAGCCAGACTATATACCCGATCATTTAACAGGAATCAATTTCAATTT